ACAGTAAACGTATGATAAAAAAAAACCTCACCAAGATTGGCTCACTGCTGCAGTTGGAAAGAGCCGGACTCAGAAGAGTGATACGACTATTAACCAGTCACTGGCATCTGAAAAAACATCTACATAGCATGATGATCCTGTTTGCAGATTTTGTAATGAGGAGGAAGAAACGCCCATATCATCTTCGATACCGAAGAAACGGCTCAAAGGAGACATAACCTAGCATACAGAAAAAAACCTAGGGAATGAAATTGTAGCAGTAAATGGCCTAATACATCTGAGAAGGACTGAGTCGATTGCACTGAACTAGGAAGATACCATAATCCAGAAGGCTGCAGTGTCTGGGGATCACAAGCCCCGCTTCCTAGTATCTTGATCATGAGAAAGCGGACACCCTTGCAAGGAAAGGGGCTGCCACACCGCTGATAGGACCCGAACCCTTCTGTGGCATAGGAATCCACACTATTAACGAATATCTCAGACAGAAGGAAAAAAAGAAAATGAAGGAACAATAGAATTCACTCATTGGACATAGACAATCCAAGATCTTCTAACCAATTTGGGCAAGAAAGAAATCACAGAATGTGTCAAAGGAAGCAGGAACAGACTGCGAATCCTAACAGGATTCCTAACAGGACACTAGATTAAATGGACACCTAAAGAAAATTGGAACAATCCAAGATGGCACATGTAGATTCTGCAAGGAAGCAGAAGAGACACCAACACACTTACTAACAAACTGCGGAGCTACATTAGCCCGCAGGAGGAAATGTTTTGGGATGTACAATGTGACCATAGAAGAGCTTCAACCATTAAAACCGGGCCTATTAATCAAGTTTCTTGATGAAATAGGACTCACCGATGTGCTTTAGGCAGAGAACGGGGGGTACAATAGCTCTCAAAGGGCGCAGTATACCCTGAAAATTACATCTACATCATCATCATCATCAAAACATCAAGAGACACGATAACAGCACGGCTTCCTAATAATCGCTCTGTCAGCCTAATGGCCTTATACGGAATTTGGGGTTCAGTCAAAAATACCAATATCCAAACCACAATCTTCAAAAAAACCTTTGATGCTTCCTTTCATGTGTCAGTCGAAACTACCCATACATGCTCAACATTCATCATTTTCAAGGTGTAATACGCTCCCGTTACCTCAAGTTTCATCAAACCCTCCCAACCAACATAAACCCTTTTGTGTTGTTATTATTCTTCACAACAATCTCTCGATCCATCCTAACCCTACTGGTCGAGCCCTCCCTACACATTCCCATCCCAACTACCCGACAATATCTCTTACACTGAGTGCCAGCACTGGCTGATTTCTCATTATCTCTCCTACGGGTGCAGCGCTGGCATTAGTGTTTGTACTGTGAACGTGTGAAAAAATGGTATTCCTTGATCACTAAGGTACAAATAAAATCAATTTCAAAAATATATGGTTTGCTTTACAATGTGATAGGACTTAGCTCTCCATGTCAGAACGAAGTCACTTGACAAAAAACCTATTAACGACCTCGATTAAGTTTTTCTACAATGGAATACTCATTTTATATAAGTTTTCTAAGAAAATATAGTTTGTCTTTACTGGTTTGAATTAAATTTGTTATGTAGATTGAAAAAAATGGTTATTTTCTTTTCAAACATATTTCGTTTTTGAAGAGCAAGGATTTTTTTAACCGTTTCTACGTTTGTTTACTTTCTATCAATCGTTTCCACTTTATACGTCAATTTGTAAACATTATTAACAGATAATTAATAGAAAATCCGTTTATATCAGAATCCAATCGGTGGTTATATAACGTAAACTAAATGTTGTACCTAAGTCCGATCGTTAAAGGGCAATTAGTAGTGGTGTAATTACCCAGGATAACGTCAGATTATACTAGATGCAATAATTATTGTTAACCGTTAGCCTCCGCAATACATATTATGTTATTGGAAGGGTTATGATAGATATACAGACGCCTATGGGCAGTAATAGCAGAATTAACGTCAAGAAATTGGATTGAATGATAGTTGGGACGTTCGAAACCTGTCCAAGTCATGCCTTACCTGTAAGCAATTTAATTAAGTACACAATTATTTCATTCAAAAAGAAATCACAAGATAACAAATAAAAAACACGATGGATATTAGCATAAATGAGGTTATATCAAAAGTGAATTATTTCAATCAAAAAGAAATCACAAGATAACAAATAAAAAACACGATGGATATTAGCATAAATGAGGTTATATCAAAAGTGAAGTTACTGCAATTACAACTGTCGTCGGAAATAAACTTCTTACATGTGTTACGCTTACTGCTACTGGTATTAATAAATTAAACGTATGTAATGCAAAAAACAGAACAAAAGAAAGTACGAAAACTTCTGCCAAAGCTAAAAAAAAGTACAACCTTCAAGTTTCTTTATTCGCCCAGCTTTCCATAAAAGTTCAAATGTTTAGGTATTGAAACTTATAATAAAACGGCCTAACCTAAAAAAGTACAAATTTTATGTTTTTCTGTTGATTCGGCCAGCTTTCAATAAAATTTCAAATCTTTAGTTATCGAAACTTATAATAAATCGGCCTAACCTAAAAAAAGTACATATTTTGTTTTTTTTTGTTTATTCGCCCAGCTTTCCATAAAATTTCAAATGTTCAGGTGCCTAAATTTATTATAAAACGGCTAAAGCTAAAAAAAACTACAAAAGTTTATGTTTTTTCTTTATTCGCCCAGCTTTCCATCAAATTTCAAGTATTTATGTATCGAAAATTAAAATAAAACAGCCAAAGCTAAAAAAAAAGGATACATTTTTAGGTTTTTTGTTTATTCGCCCAGCTTTCCATAAAATTTCAAATGTTTTCGTATCGAAACTTATAATAAAACGGCCTAACCTAAAAAAAGTACAAACTTTAGGTTTTTTTGTTGATTCGCCCAGCTTTCCATAAAATTTTAAAAGTTTAGGAACCGAATCATATAATAAAATGGCCAAAGCTAAAAAAAAGGACAAATTTTTAGGTTTTTTGTTTATTCGCCCAGCTTTCCATAAAATTTCAAATGTTTTGGTATCGAAATTTATAATAAAACGGCCTAACCTAAAAAAGTACAAATTTTATGTTATTCTGTTTATTCGCCCAGCTTTCCATAAAATTTCAAATGTTTAGATATCGGAATTTATAATAAATCGGCCTAACCTAAAAAAAAGTATAAATTTTATGTTTTTCTGTTTATACGCCCAGCTTTCCGAAAAATCTCAAACGTTTAGTTACCGAAACTTATAATAAATCGGCCTAACCTAAAAAAAAAGTACAAATTTTATGTTTTTCTGTTGATTCGGCCAGCTTTCCATAAAATTTCAAAAGTTTAAGAACCGACACTTATAATAAAACGGCCTAACCTAAAAAAAAGTACAAATTTTATGTTTTTCTGTTGATTCGGCCAGCTCTCCATAAAATATCAAAAGTTTAGGAATCGAAACTTATAATAAAACGGCCTAACCTAAAATAAAGTACAAACATTACGTTTTTTTGTTTATTCGGCCAGCTTTCCATAAAATTTCAAATTTTTTGGCATCGAAACATATAATAAAACAGCCAAAGATAAAAAAAAAAAAAGGATAAATTTTTAGGGTTTTTTTTGGTCTATTCGCCCAATTTTCCATAAAATTTCAAATCTTTAGGTATCGAAACTTATAATAAAACGGGCAAAGCTAAAAAAAAGGACAAATTTGTAGGTTTTGTTGTTTATTCGCATAGCTTTCCATAAAATTTCAAATATTTAGGTACCGAAACGTATAATAAAATGTGTTTTTCCTGTTTTTCTCAGTTCTCACGAGACGATTATGACCACCGCCATAAGCTCAGTCGCAAATATTTACCGGGTTTATTTATTTTAGCCACATGCTCTTTTAAATTTTTCAATAGGAGGGATCGTTTTAACCAGCGGGATGATTCACCGTCCCCGTGGTGTCAGATTTAATTTAAAGAGACGTGAGACCATGTTTATATTAATGTTGTGGGCGCGGCCCGAGAGTCATTTCGGTCTTGTAGCATATGTACGGTGTGACTTGTGCCCTATTGTCATGCTAACCTAGGACCCATATGCGCTCTCACCCTCGGCAGCCAACTATTACCATAACCCTATTATGATCAGATTAACCGCAGTTCCACATCCACTTGATCCGGCCACTATATTACAACCAGCACCGCCCTCTTGGCAGTCCGTCATGCTAAAGATCACATGGAGCATGTTTTATTTTTAAAATACGTAAATATTTAAAGAAAATACGAATTTTTATATTTTTTAGTTAATTTGTTTTAAGGAAATCTGAAGAAACTTTCTACCAAAAGTCCTAGTCATTCAATGTCGACCGCATTTTTATAGTTTTTCCATTGTTCTGCGTCTTAAACTTCTTGGTTGTTTTTTTAGTTTTGGACAGACGAACAAGTGTTTGATCTGCGGTTTTGTAGTAGCCAAAATCTTGAGAGGTTTAGCCGTTAGTCAATATTGTCTTTTGGGGGAAAAACAGCAATGATTGGCACTAAGGCCTTGTGTCAACACCTGAGAAGGGGCAGGTACGATTAACCGGTTCCCACTTTGTTTGTTTTGGACAATTAACGGCAACTCTTTTTTTTTTCTTGGTGTATTTTTCTGTACTATGTTCAACTGGGACTTTGGATGGAAACAGTCCGATTCTTTTAACGTAGATAGACCGACCTTCTCACTAATGGCCAAAAAGTGATGGTCTATGTCGCTGTTCAAGGGAAAAGTTTCCACTCACAAACCATAGTCATATAGAAACCTTGAGAAACAATTTCTGTTGCTTTTTTTTCCAAAAATAAAAATGTATTAAGAAAGAAACCCTTAACGGTATATTTAAGTTTTTGCCATTCATGCCTTTTTCCATGGCTGTGTTGAAGATCCAACAAAATCTTCAGCTAGATATATTACTTTTTCTGTGAAGAACCTACAATGTTAAATAATGACAATTTTGTTTAATTTTTTAGGCAGGTAACTCTGAAGTGGGTGCCAGGACATGAGGGCATTTATGGCAATGAAGAGTCACACAAATTAGCAAATTTCAGGAACACCCGTCACACCCTTTGGACTAGAAAAACAAATTTGCCCCAAAACATGCTAAAAGGACAACAAATGGATGAAGAAAAAAACATACACTGGATGAATTCCAGGTGCAAAATGATCAAACAAGTAGGAAAACAACAATCTACCTCCCACTCAGCAGCAAGAATTAAGGAAGATAGTAGGCCTTTTTACTGCCTTTTTCCCATTTTATTTAATTACCACCTCAAAAATCTGAAAACTGGCATGAAACAGCAGAGACATAGATGTCCTATGTAACTGCAAAGCATCAAACCAGAAACAGTACAGCTATTTTGGAAAGGACTAACACCTCGGAAAATAAGCAACGAGGAACCTCAGAATGTGCTCACTTTTGCACACATTCTGAAGGAGTTAAATGAAGAAGGGTGAATTACCCTGACCTAGAGAAAAATTTGCCAATTTTAATATACAAGTTTAACTTTCTTTCTGCTTCCTCTTAACTTATTTTGAAACTTTGTTTCCCAAAATCCTTCTCATCTTCAACACTAAAATCTATCCTGAAGAAATGTTTAGGCCTTCAATAGTGAAATTCACTTATCAATTTCTCTCAGTCGATCTGTGTCCTGGAGCCCCGTGTCTTTCTGTTTTTGTGTGTTTAATAAAAATTCCCTTCTATCTGAAATAATAACTATGAACTTATTTTTGTATTATGGACGGGCGGATTCTGAACAAAAGACTTTTGGATAAAAGCACCTGGCGAGAATGAAACAGGCTAACGCCTCAGGCAAACGATCAATAAATAAACATATTTATCTAATTATAAACAGATATAACAATATCTAACAGAGACAAATAGTTATTTAGTATCGTTATTATTTTTTCTGGAAAGAAAATATTATTAGACTTAATAAAGAGACGGAATATGGATATTAGACAATATGACTTAATTTATTATCTATTTTTATCATTAAAGATCAAACTAAAATTAGAAATTGGCTAACATCATAGCCAAAATAATAAATACAAATACATTTTAAGACAAGTACACATATATTAAAAAATGGGGGCTAAAAGTTTATCGTTCATGAACCGTTGATTTTAACCAACCTAGTAGGAGAAATTTTTTTAAATTGTCAAAAAAGCAACTACACTTCTTTATTATAATGCTGCCTTCAATCACAAAAAGTGTTTAATTTCACTCTACCCTATCAATCGTAAAATAACATGGGTTTTTTCGCTCAACACAATAAAATAAAATCATGTCTGGTTTTTTACTTATTAATGCTAATAAATTTTAAGGTAGTTTAGTTGGTCCAATAATTACTTTAATTATGCAAAATAAAGTATAGTTGAAAAATTAGTGTCACAGGCAGGACTTGAATCAAACAACTGATCCAGAGGTCGCGGGTTCAAATCCTGCTCGTGACACTAATTTTTCAGCACAACCGTACTTTGCACAATAATTAAAGTTAATAAAAAGATTAAATAAAAAGGTGTGTTAAATAAAGAACAAATAAAAATTTAACATAACTAACAGCTTGCTAAAAAAAGTTATTTATTTATTTATTGTTTATTTATTTATTTTTATTTTATGATAGACTATTTAATGCCTCATAAAAGCAATATAAGAAATTTGCTTGCCAAACAGACGTAGATCTGAATTCTACTGCTTTCTAGTGGTGTCATGGTAAAACAGATTTTCAATCTGGTAAAGGATTGCAATCCTTAAAAAAGGACTGTTTGCATATAACAACCCTAATAATTATGAAAATATCACAATTTTATTCGAGTAAAATTCAAAATAATTGTTCAAAATTATTTCATATTTGAAAAATCGAGGTACCCAGGAAAAAATCAGTTTTCAAGTATGTACAGTGATTCACATATTTGTTCACATCAGTAAACAATTTTCTATTATCTCTAGTCTGCAAATCCTATATTTTTTAATCCAGACAACAGCAATAGGATTGAGTTCGTTCAACTGTTGGTAAACAAACATTCACCCTAATAATCTTTATTTATGTTTATACCTTTGAATTGAGCCAGTTTATTACGAGTATTCATGTGAACAGTTTTGTGACTCGGGTTACTTCATTGCAAATTTCACAAAAACCATTTAATAATTCGTCTCAAATTTGTTATCAGGTATCATCAATTTAGTTATTTTTCTTACATATTGAAAATATTTCCTTTCCCTAATGGTTATGATCTATTCCATTTAATTACAATATGAAGCTATTTTCTACATTTTTGAAAGATCAAATAATAAAATCTCTACAAGAAGGAATATAACAAAAAATATAAATTGTTATTATTGGGGCAATAAAACCTGAAAGATCTTCTGGAATTTACGACAGTTATTTTAAAAATAAGAGGAGTGGTCATAAAACAAAATTTTCTGAGGCCAAAAGGCGTTGTATCTACGCGCTCCATTCGATCAGGACAGGTTGACAATGCTGTCCAAATTCAGCATAGGCCGCGTGATAATGATAATATGGATGTCAGTGCTGAAACAAACGGAGGATGGATTAAGAGCGACAGAAAGTGAAGAAACCATTGCTGACCAAAGAGTGCCTTGCTGATCGTGGTGTTAAAGTCATGGAATGGCCCCCACAGTCACCTAACCTTAATACAATTGAGCACTTGTGGGGAATAAAAATCTTTAGCCGATGCTGCAGGAGACGCTTCAAACTTCGATCAACTTTGGGAAAAAAACACACGTTGAATGGGACCTAATTGATCCAGAACAGTACAGAAATCTCATGAGAAGTATGCCCAGAAGGACTGATGCAGTTTTGAAAGCCAAAGGAGGACATACAAAATATTAAAGGACTTTCTATGACACCATCATATTATTGTTTGCACACGGTAATTTCTTTTTTATTATTTTAATAATAATGATAAAGAAATAATTTAATTTTTTGGGTGTTTTTTGTGTTAAAATAAATAAAATCATTAAAAAAACTACGTTTATTTGATGTCCTAAAATTGTTTTGTAAAGTAAATAATGATAAAACCCAATTTGCATTCAGTTGTGAACGAATCTGTGTGAGTGTGAGTGTTTGTATAATTTTGATAATGCTGTGTTTTGTACAACCCCATAATTCAATCACATGTAGCAGTTTAAAAATTATTTTTTTCCACTCAATATCGATTTTGAGATTTGACCTCCTTTCATCAGTATTATTCTCTTGGTTTTCACCAAAGCTAGAGAACAAGACTTAAGAGGGTAGGCAGAAGCCCTGAAATCTACGTTAAAGAAAAAAAAGTTTCTTTTTAACAAGACTTTCTTAAAGAAACCCTACTACATATAAAATTAATACTTATTTGGAAAAATTTATGAGTTAAAAAGCATGAACTTTCTAAGCATGGTGTTATAACATTCCTAGTAGCTGCTTACACAATCTGTTGGAAGGAAGTTGAGTTTATGCACCGGCTTTATTGATTTTCATCAAAATTTCTATTTATATTTTTATAGCTTTATGCATTACTAATTTACAATTTATTCCAAATCTATTATTATTATATTTTTCTTAAGTTAAATCTTTATGTATTTCTTCATAGTGGTAGTACTTAAGTTCTACAGTTATAGCTAGTTTATCTATTATACTTTATAAAAATATAGATCTAAGATTAAAGATCCAAAAATTAAGATATAATTGCCCTGGACTGATTAATTTTCATGTGCCATCTTCTTAGAGAAAAACCAACCTTTTCTATCAAACCAAACAAATTTACATTTTAAAAAATATATAAAATAAAACCCTTGTCTTTTCTCAAATTTTCTTTTCACAGTGTGAAACAGATGTACTTGTAACTCCATCAACCTGATGAACAGCTTTAAGCTTGAAATGTGGATAGTTGTAATCAACAGATTTGTGATTAGAACCAAATTGTACAAAAAGTGAAAAAAAAAAAAAGTTACTACCATTCCATCATATACTAAGTAACCACCCTTGAATTAAAGGTGTCCGGGTTATGTATTTCCTGGTCATCTCTCAATGTGGAAACTTAAGACAATACTTCCTTCTCTAGTTTCTCTACCTATATTATTTATCTATCAACACTGGTGTTCCTCAAGAAAGTATACTGGCATCACACCTTTATACCGCTTTACCACAATATCATAATCTTTGTATTCGTCGATAACACAGCTAACCTCTCTCCTAACCCTAATACTTTCAGTACTACTTTATCCAACAACACCTGGGAATCATGTCTTTGTGCTTGGAGAATCAAGGTCAACTAAAAAAATCCTACCATCTTAAACAAAAGAAAAACCTTCTCCAGACTACCTAGACAATATGACTATACTCNCGGACCATGAAATTAGTGAATTTAAAGAAGTTATTTAGGATTGTAGGTTAGATTGGAACCCACCCACATAACTAAAACTTACACTAGACTACTGATACTACAGAACAAAAAAACTTTATACTGCACTATTTGCACCCATATGAAATTTCGGACCAGAATTCAACAGAACAGTAAAGAATTCTAACCTATATCGTATTCAGATATTTCAATCCAATCGTCTGTACTTACATGTCTTATTCTATTTCAGTCACCATACCTTCACTCCGACGTATATATTAATAAATAATCTTTCCCGTCTTATTCTTCCTATGATTCCAACCATAAAATTAATTGGTGGGTAACAACAATGTCCCTGTTATGAGAGACAAAAATGTTAACAGTAAATGTCTAACAGAGGCATCACTGGAAACCGTCCTTCACACTACTCATGAAATAAAACCACAGCAGATTTGCTTATTATAAATATTGCATAAAGTTATGAAGAGTTAATTATTCTTTTTATGTAAGGTCTTGATTGAGATGAAAAAGTTAGTGTCACGAGCGGGATTTGAACCCACGACCTTCGGCTCAATACTTTGCTGTTCTAACCACTTCAGCTCTCATTTTCGTAAGTCGCTGAGAATCAAATCCTGATTACACGACATGTTAAAAATGGTAAAAAGAGGCAGTTAAAAAAGAGGAGGTAAAATGCGAAAAGTTGCAAGTTGAGACGGGGAGTTGGTGTCCGAGTGGATCGATGTCATGATAGCCCAAGTGGTTAGAGTAGCGGCATATTGGTCTGAAGGTCGTTAGTTCAAATCCTGCACGTGACACTAACATTTTCATCTTAACCTAGACCTTACATAAAAAGAATAATCAACTGAAATATTTAATATGGTCAATTAGACTACTAAACAAAAATGGATTATTGTAATAAGTAAAAGAAGTAATCACTTCGCCATGGCTATTTTCATAAGTCGCTGGGAATTGAATCGTGATTACACAACATTTGAAAAATGGCAAAAAGAGGGAAAATGTGAAAGGTTGCAGGATGAGAAGGTTGCTTATTATAAATATTGCATAAAGTTATGAACAGTTAATTATTCTTTTTATGTAAGGTCTTGATTGAGATGAAAAAGTTAGTGACACGAGCGGGATTCGAACCCACGACCTTCGGCTGAATACTTTGCTGCTCTAACCACTTCAGCTCTCATTTTCATAAGTCGCTGAGATTCAAATCCTGATTACACAACATTTTAAAAATGGTAAAAAGAGGAAAAATGCGAAAAGTTGCAGGTTGAGATGGGGAGTTGGTGTCCGAATAGATCGATGTCATGATAGCTCAAGTGGTTAGAGTAGCGGCATGTTGGTCTGAAGGTCGTTAGTTCAAATCCCGCTCGTGCCATTGACCACAATTTACTAAATAGATTACAATTAATTAAGGTTTTTAGTTGAGATAAAAAGTCAGTGTCACGAGCGGGATTCGAACCCACGACCTTCGGCTAGATACACCGCTACTCTACCACGGCGTGAAGTTACAATATGCACTTCTTTGGGCATCCCAGATCCGCAATAAATTGGGAATTAAGTAA